TGGAAAAGGACACGACCAGGTATGGATTGCAGGCCAATACCTCTTAATCCCCCCCCCATATGCCCATGCCCATGCCGAACCGTGTTCTCGCCCTTGCCCGTCATGAGAACCAACCACATCACCCCGATGGTCGACTGATGCGATGGCTATCTGCGCCCGTACGGCTGCTGCACCTGATACGGCATGCAGCCAGCGACAGGCAGAAGGCAGTAGGCGGCAGAGGAAGGTCCGAGCCAGCCACTCCACTGCCGCCAGTCCTCCCACTGCTGTACCCGACCAACCATGGACGCACACAGTGCATCATACAGCTCATACGAGGGTGGCGATCTCCTCGACAACTCCCGTACGTCCCATCCCCCCCCCTCCTCTTGCCCACCCTTCCCCCGACGCCCCGCACTCACCCCCACCCACCCTCCCATCGCTTGGCCGTCTCCAGCGCCACGAGGCATCCTCGCCCCGCAGACCGAGTACACAGACTCGGTCGAGGTGCATCTGCTTGGAGGGGCCTTTGTCACCATGCCTGTGGCCGAGTCTACTACCTTTGATGAGCTCCGCTGCGACGTGGCCGTCCGCATGGGCCTCTCGGCCGACGCCGCCGCCGCTTTTGACATCTTTCCGGTTGTTGCCGGCTACGAGCGGCGTCCGCGGTCGTACCTCGAGGGCCGGCTGTCTGCTGGCGAGGATCATGGTCCGGCGGCGAGGGTTCCGCCTGTGGCGGCCTCGCTCAACCGATCCGAGCTCTCGGGCGCCGTGCCGGCTCAGCCCGAAGCGGCGACGCGGGTGCTGGCGACGATGCGCGAGTTCAAGGTGCTCGAGGAGCGATACGTGACCAACAAGGCGCATGAGCATGCAGTCCCACACTCGTTCCTCGTGTTCAAAAAGTGGGACTTTTCGCCGGCCACAGAGACCAGCCTCGAGACCGATCCGGTCGCGCTGCGACTGGTCTATCAGCAGGCCGTCTACGGCGTCATCCACGAGTGGCCGGTCAGCGACGACGTCAAGTTCTTCATCGACCTCGCAGCGCTGCAGATGGTGGTTGCGTTTGGCCCGTGCCCGCCCGCCCGCCACGCCGCTGGCTTCCTCACCTCGGACGGCGGCCTGCTCGCGCAGTACCTGCCCGAGCCGCTGGTTGCCGGCGCCACCCTCTTCCGCCTTCGCGAGCTCGAGGCCCGCATCCTTGACGGCTACCACGGCCTGCAGCTGGAGACCACCGAGGCTGCCATGGCCGCCTACCTAGCGCACGCGCGCAAACTTCGCATGTACGGCGCAACTACGTTTGTGCCGGCCAAGGCGCGGACCTCGCTCAAGACCTCGATCCACGGCCGCATTGCCGTCGCCATCTCGGATTCGCGCCTTGGCTTTATCGAGGCCAAGACCCGCAGGCTTGTGGGCTGCTATCACTTTTCGCACGTCCTCCAGTGGGGCGGCGAGCACTCGCACACCTCGTGGACCTGCTCCATCCTCTCGTCCAAGGTCCACTCGATGCTGAGCTCCGGCTCGCACAAGCTCGACAACCGTGGCGCCCATCTCGTCCGCTCGAACTCGGGCGAGCTGCAGCCTATCGCCGCCGGTGAGAGCACCGTCTACAAGTTTGTCACGCCGCAGGGTCACTACATCTCGTCTGCGCTCCACAAGGCCGTCCGCCAGCACATGGCCGACAAGGCCGCCGGCCGCGTTCGCCGCGCTCACCACCGCTCGACCGCCGGCGACGCCGAGCCGTCCGCTTCGCCGCCGCAGATCAAGTCGCCAGTCCTCAAGCCTGCTTCTAGCGACCGGCGCCCGTCGCGCGCCGATGCATCATCGTCGGCCGCCGCGGCCGCACCTGTGCCTGCGCCGACGCCCGCCAACGACGAGCCCGAGCTGCCACTCTCGCCGACCTCGGGTCTGCCCGGCGTCGAGGCTGAGGACGCGTTCTCAGACTGGGACTACTATGACGATTATGACCTCGAGCCGGCGCGGGTGTAAACTAGCTCTACTCGGACTTGGGCTTTGCATGCTGCACCAACATGTCAAGACCACGCCCAGCCACAACGGCAAAGAAAGCGCCGCCGAGCATCTGCAGCACCGGGAGGAGAAGCATGATGTTGGGCAGGTGCCCGCCGATCCGCGCCAGCCGCGCCAGCGCCGGCAAGTCCGGCCGCACGCAGACAACAACAAACTGGAGGGCGAGGCCGGGTCCGGCGCCCATGAGCGCGCCACGGAACGCTGCCACTGTGTTGGCTGTCGGTGACGTTGGATCGTCAGCGTGCACCGGCCCGCCGGCGCTCGGGTACACCGCCACGCGCACCAACGCTGTCACCAGCGGCGCAAGCATCATGTACACCAGTGCCGGAAAGTAGAGCCCGTACACCTGCGGGATAAGGAGCGGGAAGGCGGCGTACATGGCGAGGACTAGCGCCATGTGGGTGAGCCCGTTGATAACCACCAGCGTCGCAAGCGTCTCGTCACGGCCGGAGAAGAGGAACTTTGCCGATGCCCCACAGTGGAGGACCAGAAAGACGGCAGCACCTGCCGCACCCACAATCGGCCAGCCTGCTAGCTCGCACGCACCGTACGCCACGCCTCCGGCTGCGGCAACACCACCGACATGCACCGCCAGCTCATGCCACGGCAGGCCTGTCAGCTGGGGGGCATACAGCGCAAAGAGCATGCCGATGTATGCGACCACAAGTCCGACTGCAGCAGTGAAGAACGCCTGCGGCGACGAGGCCAGGGGCTCAAGGATCCAGCCAGCATGCGGCTGGAGAAGCGTGAGCAGAAGCGCCGAGTCAAAGTCAAACGCCTCGCACAGGTCGTCGGTACAGACGCCGATCTGCGTCGAGAAGCAGGCCGAGGCAAAGGCGTGTGCCCGCGGGAGCACCGCGCCAGCCAGCGGAGGCATGTCGTTCCCGGCCCAGGCTGGAATGTCCAGCTGCACAAGCACCAGCGCTCGGAGCGTGTTAGCAAGGTCGGAGACTTCGGCAATGTACTCGGCCAGAGTGGTGAGCGGATGCTTGCCAAACCCGCCGTCGGCCCGCTGCGCCTCGACCACAAACGACTGCAGCAGCGCCAGGCCGTTGCCATCGTCACCGAGCAGCGCCGAGCTAATACTGGGAACCTGGTCCGGCGCAGTTTCGGCAACAGCAGCCAGGATGCGCATTGCTAGATACGTCGCCTCAATGGAGGCCACCGCGTCCGGGTTGCCGAGCGCGATCACGCCTTTGGGCGAGGCACGAGCGCAAAAGCCGCCCACCGACGCGTCGCGCTGAGCAAGCACAAACCCCACGATGACCTCGAGTGCATCAGCACGCTCCGTGGAAAGCTTTGAGAATCCATCAAGGAGCGCAACGAGGTGCAAGCCGGCATACACCGAGCGCAGCGTCGCCTGCCGGTTAGGCGCCGGGCGAAAGCCTGCGCCGTCCTCCCACATGCTCTCGCCTGTCAGCCAGGTGAGCGCTTGCTCGCGTGCGCCGGCGTCCAGACTGGCGACTGCCGCCGCAGACGTCGCCAGCGACTGAAACCCGAGCTCACCGACTTTGCAGTCCTTGCCATCGGCGGCATCGAGCGCGCAGCGCGCAGTGTACACCAGCCGCGTCCGCTCGGCCACGTATGGCGACTTGGAAGCCTCTGCCGCTGCAAACACCGCAAGGGCGCCACCATCCATGCCTGGAACGTGCGACGCGGACGCAGTGATCACCGCGCCGGTCAACGTGTGCTCCGGATCGACAGTGTAGACCTCCGACGGAACAGCGTAGCGGAGCAGGCCTGCCTCGTGTGCAACTACAGCCTCGTCGGCAGGGATGGCATATCGCTAGATCGGGGGAGGGAGGGTCGGGAGATGAGTGCGGTGGAGGAGGCCGGGGAAGATGAGGGGGTGAGGGAGCAAGCGAGCATGGCAAGAAGGCGTACCGTCACCGGAGCCATGTACGCTGCAGTGTCGAAGGCTGGGCCCGGGGCGAGCATGACTGCCAGGCAGCCGAGCATGGCGAGGGCCAGCGCGCCGACAGCAGCTGCTGTGCGGGCGCGTGGAAGCGACGGTGTCACCGAGAACCGTTCCATGTTTGGGGGTTGAGGAGAAGGAAGGGCAAGTGTAGAGCCGTGTGCTTGAGGAAGTAGGGGTGTGTCCCGGATTGTGCGTGGGTCGGGAAGGAAGGGGTCGACCGGGGATCACACACCCGACTGCGCCGTGATAGCGTCTCACCCCCCTTCCCCCCTTAAACACACACACACACACAGGTCTGACCATAGTGGATTGATCAGTGCGGGGTGACACAGCCTTGGACGCGATCGCAGTGGTGCTTGCGCTACAAGTCTACGTCTACGTTTACGTCTACGGCTACGTCGACGTCTATGAGTCGGGACACTCGCGAGCATAATGGCCCTGCTGGCCACAGCGGAAGCACGCGCCATGATCGGATGACTTGCCGGCAGCGCGCTGCGTGCACTGGCGGGCGCGATGGCCGGGCTTGTTGCAGATGAAGCATACGCCGTTAAAGTCGACGGCGCCATCGACGCCCGGAACCGGGGCACGGCTGCTATCACGCGATCCGCGCTGGTCACGGGAGCGTGAGCGGTCGCGGTCGCCGCTCCCGGCTCCAGCGCCGCCTGTGCTACCGCCTCCACCGCGCTCGCGACGGGAGCGCGAGTGTGAGCTTGCCGAGGCTGCGCTGCTGGTGCGGGCCGGCGCGGCCGGCGGCGGCGCATGCTTGGCGGCAAACTTGGCGGTCGTGGCCGACGAGAGCACCAACAGCGGCGGATCGGTCGGCTTGCGGACAGCCTCGGGGCAGTGCGGCTCGAGATGGCCCCAGCCGGAGCACCGGGTGCACTCGAGCAGCGGGACCCGTGCCGAGCTCCGCGCCCGCGACGGGATCTCGTGCAGAGGCACAACGCCGAGCACCGCTCGCGCATCAAAGTGCATCGACGACGATGACGGAAGGATGAGGCCACCAGCGTGCGGATCGTAATGCCGCCGCCGCCCACCGCCGCCACTGCTGCTACCGCTGGCTCGGCTGCTCCTGCCCTTGCCCGTACTCTTGCCCGCAACCTTACCGCCGCCGTCGTCGCCGCCTGCGGGCGCATACAGCGACCCGTCCTCGTCCTCTATGTACGTGTTCCACGCACCCGAGCTCCCACCCGTCCCTGCACCCACCGGTCTGGCCATGACTGCGGGTCGAGTGTGCTCAAGGGGCAGTTGCCGCAGCAGCAGCTTCTACGGCGTCACCTGCTTGTACGCTCCACTCGTGCCGGCTCCCGCTCGCAGGGTGACGCGAACCCATTTAGCGAGCGGCCATCCGCTGGCGTCAGTTGCTCGGGCGGCGTGTTGGCAGCCGACAATGGGGTGGTTAGTCAAAGTTGATATCGTCGTGGCAGAAAGTTGCTCCTCTATTTGGATGCAATTCTCTTCGAAACGTCGTAGAATGATTCAGACCGCGCCGTGAGACGCACCTTCATGTGGTGCCGTTCTCCCCTAAAACGGGCTGTACACTTTTTCCCTTCTTCCCATCTTCCACTTCCCATCTTCCACTACCCTCTGATGTTAACCCCCCAACCCCCAACCCCCCTCAACCCCCAACACAATCCACATCGACATACACCGCAGCCCTGCTTTACATACCATCTAACGGAAGATGAGGTACGTGACCGGGACATCGCACTCGTTGTCCTCGTCATCCTCGCACGAGACAACCAGCTCGAGCCGCTTGACTGACTCGTCAAACTCCTCGCCGGTCGAGTCGCGGACGAGGTCGGTGACCTTGCGCTCGAGGCGCGAGGCGTGGGCGGGCATAAACTCGGCGTAGAGGAGCGAGGAGCCACGCGAGATCATCGAGGCGTTCACACCGTGCTTCTCGGTGAACCAGTCCTTGACCTCCTGGACGGTGAGGTCGCCGACAATCTCCATCTGGTCCCACTCGGTGTAGCCATCGGGGATGTAGCGCTGGCCGGCGGGACCGGGCGAGGTGTTCTTCTTGGGCGGCAGCGGCTCGGAAAAGGCAAAGAGCGGGAGCGCGAGGTTGAAGAACCCATTCTTAAAGGCCTCGATCGGCGCCTTGCGGACGAGCTTGTAGAGCTCGAGGAGGACAAAGCCGGTGGTCATGGCCGTCGTCGTGGCGAGCGCCGGGATGATGCGGCCGGCGATCATCTTGATCTTGAGCCGCTCGACCTCGCCGATGTTGTAGTTACGAGCCCGGAGGTTGGCCGCGGCGGCGATGTAGTCAATGTGATGGTTGCTGTCGTCGTCCTTCTCAAACACGTGCGGCGTAAAGGCCACCGGCGGGATAGAGAGCTCGTCGAGCGCCTTGCGCGTCGCCTCGATCACGTCCTCGTCGTCGTCGGCCTTGGCCGGCTCGGGCTCCTCGCCCTCCTTGACCTGGATCTGGACCGAGGCGTCGTCGACAAACTCGGGGACAGCAACGTCGGCAAGGATGGCTTTGATGGCATCGGGCTCGGCCGTGGCATCGGCGAGGCCAAAGATCGCCGCGCGGAGGTTCGCCGCAGACACAATGTACGCCATGTGCAGCGGGTCGGCGGCGTCAAACTCGATCGGCGACGGAATGCGCTTGGTGCCCGACCAGAATGGCGCGCCGGCCTCGTCGACCTTGTCCGCCGGAAGGCGAAGGAGAATGGTGCGGATGCGGTGGTTGTACAGCCGCTCAAACTCGCACCGCGCCCACGCCACGCAGTCGGCAAATGTCACGTTGCCGGCCTTGGCCGCCACCAGCGAGTGCACACCCTCGAGCATCATCCGCTTCTCGTGAATGTGCCGCATCGACTCGAGGTGCGCCTCACCATCCTTGAGGTACGCAATCGCGTCCGACGGCGTCTTGACAAACGTCGTCTCAAACTCCTCGCGCGCGAGCTGGATGGTGTGCTCGATGAGGTACGGGAAGTTGTGCAGCGTGCACGACGGCGTCTCCTTCTCCGGCGGGTCCGGCGACGCTCCGTACGACTCGGTCATGTGCGGAATGACAACCTGGACGTTCGACTTGGTCCCGAGCGTGCCCGACTCGAGCAGCGACTTCTTGTACGACACACACTTGGAGTCGACGTACAGCCGCGCCTTGATGTTGTCGAGCGCGTTGGTCACTCCGTCGAGGCCCATCCAGAACGCATCGTTAAAGTAGTCCTCGGTGTTGGGCGAGACCCGGAGCTCGAGGGCGTTGATGTTGATGTCCGGGTTCATCTCCTGGATCACCGCCGCCGCCGTCTTGGACTTGGAGCAGTTGAGGTGGTGCGAGCGGAAGAGGAACTGCCGGTTGAGGTTCGACGGCGCAATGTGGTCGTCGTCGGTGACGTGGATGACGCCGTCTGGTGCCGTCGCTACGCCCATCATGGCAAAGCCCTTGAGGAACTCGCAGCCGAGCGCACCGGCGCCCACCATAAAGTACTTGAGGTTCGCCAGCTGCGCCTGGAACGACCGCCCAAATACAGCAATCTGCCCGTCGTACCGCGAGCCAAGCGGCGCGTACTCGTCGCCGGCCGCAGATGGCTTCTGGGCCGCCTCGACGTCCGCAAGCGCCTCGAGCGCGTCAAAGTACATGTACTGGTCAAACGGCGTGAACTTGCCGGTCACCTTGACCACCTCCTGTGCCACAATGCCGCCCATGATCGACGCCATCGGCGAGAGCTCCGCCCGCGCGTGCAGCGCAAGCAGCCGCGGCAGCTTGGCGTCCACCTCGTCCACCAGCGGACCACCAGCCCGCGCAGCGTTCCACGCCACCGCATACTCGACCACAGCCTCGGCGTGCTCCTCGTTGTTAAGCTCCGGCAGCGCGCCCGCGTTCGCTGCCTGGAACGCGTGCAGACCCTGGAACGCCACGTGCAGCTGCTGCGGCCGCCCAAACTTGGCAAAGTCCGTCACCGCAAGCTCGCCGGGATCCACCACACGCTCCGCAAGCGACTTGTGCGAGACCACAGTCGGCATCTTGACCTGCGTCGCCACTCCGCCCGACACGTACGCCGAGAAGCCCGAGGCATCGAGGTCAAGCGTCACCGTATCCTGCGTCCGCGCTGTGACCCGCGCTGGCGGCACGTTGTTCAGCTCCTCCATGCCCACAACCTCGGAGAACGAAATGTAGTCGCCCTCCTCGAAGCAATACGGAAAGTCCTCCAGCCAGGTCACCACCGCCGGCGACGTCGCAGTCACCGATGCAATCCACCCAAACCGCGGCTTCTCGCCATCGCCGTCAGCAATGACGTGGCCCTCGTACCGGAAGGCCCACCCGCGGCCTCGGGCGCAGAAAAGTCGTCAAAGACATAGCCAAACAGCCCGTGGATTTCCGTCGTGATAAAGGTGATAGGCGGCGACGCCGCCCGGCAGAACGCATTCACCCGCGTCTTCTCCTCGGGCGTCGAGCACGTCATGACCACAACAGTGAACGACCGCAGAAAGTCAGCCGTAATCGCACCCGTGTGCGTCTGGATCTCCACATACGGGTTGAGCTCGCGAAAGTGTGGGAAGCAGACCTCGGCACGGCTCTTGCCCACGTCCTCCTCCTTGAGGTAGAACTGCGCAGAGAGGTCCGCCAGCTCCACCAGCCCGGCGTCCGCCACCGTCACAGCCTTGGGCCCTGCAAGAATCACGTTCTTAGCAATCTCCACGCCCAGCCCGCGGAGGCCCACAATGAGCACAGACTGCTTCACAAGCTTCTGCATAGTCGCCATGCCCAGCGCCCCAATCTGCCGGTCGTACAGCGCCTTCTGCCCGCTCGACAGCGTTCCGTCTGCCGACGTGCCGGCGTCGGCTGCCCCAGTCTCCATAGCCACCACTCCGGCCGTCTCGTTCTTTGCACTTGCCGCCATTGCTACTTGCTGTCCTCGAGTCTTTTGCTCTGTGTTATGAGCGAGGTGTGCTTTCCCCCCTCCCTCCCCCTCCTCCCCTTCCCTTCCATTTCCCCAACCCCCCCTCCCCATTCTCTTCGGGTCGCTCCGAATCGGTCGCGACCTGTCTCTCCACCGGCCACCCCCACAAACCTCGTTCGTTCCTTCTCCACCACACAGTCCTTTTTTTGGGCCCCAAAATATGCATCAACTCCCAGCTGTCCGTCAGGTGCGGTGCCAGCAGGAAGCAACTCCCCGCCCCCTCCCCCTCCCCCCCCCCCTCCGTCTTCACCCACACCACAGTACGGCCACTCCTCCCCCCCTCCCCCCTCTCCGCCCCCCCCCCCTACCCCCCTACTCCCTACCCCCCTCCTCCTCCTCCTTCACACTCGTTGTGGGATAGCTCTCGCCTTTTACCCGCGCCCCACTCTGGCCTGACCTTGGGTGTGTGAACTTTGCAACGCAGGGGAGACCATGGACCCCAAACTCTCGTCATGGCTGGCATCGCTGGCACCGACCCAGGCACCCACACCACCGCCACCGGTTGGTCTTGCCACACACACTGCTGCTGCTGCGGTCGCACCGGTTCCGGCCACCACGGCTCCTGCTGCCGATACAGATGCAGGCGACGCCGAGCCAGCTCTGGCCCAGGCTGGCATTCTCGAGCTCCCGGGCGCGTCTGGCGGACCAGGCTCGTCAGTCACATCAACGCCGCGAACGCTGGACGCGCTCTCGTCGTGTGACTCGATCACCGAGGACGAGCTTTCCGAGTATGGTGACGACGAGGCGTCGCCGCAGAGCCAGTTGGCAAGCGCGCTTCATTCCACCGCTTTCCCCCGCTCCTCGACGGCATCGATCCGCGCGATACATTTTGCGCCAAGCTTCACATCGGCTCTCCTGACGGCTCGTTCACCCCGATTGTCCGCAGTGGCGCCGTGCTTGAGCTTCAGCTTGAGCTCCTGCCGGCGCGCGACCATGTCTGGCTCCGCGGTTCGGCCGCTGACGCCAGCGGTGGCGACGTCCTGTTTGTGACCGACGTCTCGGCACCGGTACCGGCGGATGAAGCTACACCGCCAAGGGACAGCTCATGGCTGCTATTCAAGGCGGCGCCTGCGCTCGGTGACGCCGCTCAGGTGGCCGGGGGCACCGGTATTCTCGCCGGCCCAGGCCCGACTGTTTACGGCCTCGAGTTTGAATCGGCCATCGACGCCACATCGTCGCAGACGGTTCTCGCCGAAGAGCGGGCCAAGCTACAAAAGGCTGCATACTTTGATGACCACGAATGCGACGATCTGATCATCGACGATGCTGGCGCGCCGCGGCTGGCCTCGCTCGACAAGCTGCTCGACAGGCTCACATTCTCGCGGGCGGACCGTTCCGCGCTCGACGACGCCGAGTTCTCCAAGTTCTTTCTCCTCACATACCGCTCGTTCACCTCACCGGTCGACCTTCTCGCGGCGCTCTTTGCGCGGTTCAACCTCCCGCTGCCGGCGGTGCTTGGCGGCGACAGCAGCGCACTTGCCGAGTGGCAGACGACCATCCGCGACAACGTCCGCGCGCGAGTCGTCAAGGTCCTCGCCCGCTGGATCGGGCTGGGTGTCCGCGACTTTCTGGATGATCCCATCCTCGAGTGCATGCTCGCGTATTTTCTCTCGGTCGTCTCCGAGGCCGGCTTTGGTGACAAGGTCGCCGAGATGCAGGCGCAGTACCAGGCCGGCGTTGCCGACGAGACGCTCAACATGCACCTGCTTGACATTGTGCGGCTGCTGGAGACCAACGTCGAGCAGCGCGAGGCCAAGTGGCGGATGAAATCGGTCGGCCTCTGCTTCCAGGGCCAAGATGCGGTCGACTACCTCTTCCACGCCGGTGTCTGTGCCTCGCGCGAGAACGCAGTCGCCGTCGGCGCCCAGATCCTCTCGGCCGGCTTCATCACCCACGTCTCGGGCGACGCCAACATTCCGTTTGACGACAACTTTCAGCTCTTCCGCTTCAACCTCGAGGTGGTCGAGTCGGCTGCTCGCGGCATGGGCTCCGGCTCGGGCAACCGCCCCACGCCCGAGCTCCCGCGCGACCTCAACTCGTTCGAGGTCGACGACCTGCCCATTGTCGAGTTTGCCCGCCAGGAGACACTCCTCGAGTACGCGTTGTACTCCAAGATCCAGCCCAAGGAGCTGCTTGGCCTCGCCTGGTCCAAAAAGGGAAAGGAGGAGCTCGCCCCCAACGTGCTCGGCCTCATCCGCCGGTTCAACGCCATGTCGCTCTGGGTCGTCACCGAAATCACCCGCCGGTTCCAGCTCAAGGACCGGGTCAAGGCTGTCAAGTACTTTGTGGCGCTGGCGGCCAAGTTCCGCGACATGGGCAACCTCAACGCTCTCCAGGCCGTCATGTCCGGTTTCTCCAACAACTCGGTCAAGCGGCTCAAGTTTACCTGGGCCAAGCTCGACCGCAAGTCGAACGAGACCCTCACCGAGCTCCGTGAGCTGCTCGACTTTAAGGGCTCGTATCGTAACCTGCGCAACTACCTCAAGCATGTTGTCCCGCCGTGCATTCCCTTCATCGGCATGTACCTCACCGACCTCACCTTTATCCATGAGGGCAACCCGGACGTGCTTGACGGCCTCATCAACTTTGAGAAGCACTCCAAGGTTGCCTCGATCATCCACGAAATGCTCACCTACCAGGCGATTCCGTTTGCCCTCGAGACCGTGCCACAGATCAAGCTCTGGCTCTCGCACCTTGACGGTGCCGACGACGACACCACCTATGACTGGTCGCTCGACATCGAGCCGCGCGAAGCCCATGCCGCAGGCTCCATTTCCAAGGATGACACCACACGCTTCAAGTCGCTTGGCCGCCGGCCGCGCGTCTTTGCCTCGACCGCAGACTCGCTCGCCCGCGCCTCCAAGTCGGTCTCGGCTGTCCACAAGGCCTCACGGGCTCGCTCGGCCGAGAACCTTCTAGAGCTCACCGCCGACGACCCGGGCCTGGCCCGTCTCACCGCTCGCATCAACCATGTCCGCGCCGGCATCGACCTAAGTGTGGCGACGACCGCCGGCCGATCCGGCGACGCCGATGCACCCGCCCTCAGCGCACCCGGCTCCGACGTCCTGGACGCTCGCAGCCGGACTGGGTCACTCTCGATGGACATCTCGGGCTCGTCGCGGTCCAAGCGTCGCCGCTCGCGCATGCCCTCACAGCTCCTCTCCGCCTCGCCGACAACACCGACAACGCTGACGGCGGCGTCGGCACCAGACAGCATGCTGCCGTCGGCCGCTTCCCCCATCGAGCGGCTGCGGAGCCAGTCGGCATCGGCGCGGGTCCGCTCCAACTCGCTCGGCGTCCGCCTCACCGACGCAGGTACCGGCGCATCGCCGCCGGGACCGCCCACAGCTCCGCCGGCGGCAGCCGCCCCCACCGCGCCCGCCTCCGCTGCCGCAGCTCCCAAGTCGGGAAAGCTTCCCATCACCCAGCTCATCGAGGCTGCACTGGACCGTGACGGCAGACCCGGTACGCCGGTCCGCAAGGTCAAGGACCTGCTCGACGCCGGCGTCGACATCGACGATGTCAACGCCCGCGGAAACTCGGCTCTCCACTACGTGGTTATCGACTCGCGGCTCGACGTCGCAAAGTACCTCATCGCCCGCGGCGCCTCGGTCGACATTCCCAACTTGCAGGGTGTGACCCCGCTCCACATCGCCACGCTCCGCAACAACCTGCCCATGGTCAAGCTACTCATCATGGCCGGCGCAGATCCCGACGAAACCAACGCTGCCGGCCAGAACGCCCGCGACATGACAACCAACCCGGAGATCCTCGAGCTACTCGACCTGTAGCCCCCCCCCCCCCCCCCCCCCCCCCTTCCCTTATTGTCATCCAAGCTGGCTGTCCTGGCTGACCTTTCTTTGCCAGGCAAGCAAGCAGTGATGGATGTTTCAGCGCTCCATAACCCTTAAAGGTTCGCTCGTTCGGACGCGTTGTCGCGCGTCTCAAATTGAACAACTCGATGATGGTTGACTTCCAGGTCGTGAGGTGCCCAGCGGTGGCCGGTCCAGCCCCACTTTTCCTCCTTGCATTTTAACATTCCACCGCCAACACCACTTCACCTTACCTCCCTCCTCCTCGCCACCTCCACCCTCCCTCGTCATGGACATCAACTTGGTGACCAGGGTACGTGCCCCCCCCCCTCCCTCCCCCCCCCCCCCAAAAACCAACACTACCCCCCCCCCCCTCTCCCCCCTAACCCAAGGACGGGAAAATCCCAAAAAAGATTTGTTTTTCATGGGTACTGGCCAGGGGGGCCGCCCCATTAACGCCGGACTGGTGAAAAGGGACCTTGAAATTGTTGGTTTCCCGCTCACTCCCCAAGAAGGCATGGCCAACAAAGGGGGGGGGTAAAGAACGCGAACTAGCCACGTTGCTAGTTAGCGCCACATAAAAATAATAAAATAAAAATAAACTCCGGAAATCTAACCAG